CAACTGCCAGAAAATACAAGAACATTAAAATATGAAACCCAGGCCACAAAGACGGCTCAGTGTGTAAGGTGCTTGCTGCCAAGCCTGACAACCAGAGTTTGATCACCAGGATTCACATGGTGAGAAAAAAAACCAACTCTTATGAATTGTCATTTAATCGGCACAGGCACACCATGGCACTCCTGCTCCCACACACAGACAGGAAAAGGAAGGAAGGAAGGTAGGAGGGAGGGAGGGAAGGGGGAAAGGGGAGGGAGGGAGGAAGGAAATATGGATAGATAAACAGATAGATATATGTAATAGATTTTCCAAAAATATATTAAGCTCCATTTGAATTCAATTTTTTTTTTTTTTTTTTGAGACGGACTATATAGCTCTGGCTGCACCTCTCCATATCACAAAGACCCACCTGCCTCTGCCTCCTGAGTGCTGGGAGTAAAGGTGTGCCCCACTAAGCCCGGCTCAAGCTCAGACACAATTCTTAAGACTAGAAATCCAGCCAAGCAGTGGTGGTACACATCTTTTCATCCCTGAGTTACAGGCCAGCCTGGTCAACAGAGCAAGGTCCAGGACAGCCAAGGCTACACAGAGAAACCCTAAAATAAACAAATAAATAAATAAGAAAAGATGAAGATAGGTTGGAGGGAAAGCTCTTTGGAAGATAGTTTTAACACAATAACAGGTAAATTTTTTTTTGTTGTATTTATAGTTCAGACTAAAATCAACATAATATACAAAATATTGATAATACTCCAATTAAGGGTCCTAATAAATAAACTAACTCAAAAATTAGGCTACTACAATAGCCAAGGAATGAGGTGACCAAGGACCTTAAGCAAAAAAGCCTAAATCCAGAAAGAAACAGTGATCTTAGTTATCTATTAATTCAACATACTTTAATTGCCTACTACTTCCAGGGCTCTAAACAAACTAAGACTCTTCCAACCAAGTAGGAAGATAATTCCACAGGACAAAGTATACATAAATAAACGCAGTAGTAAGCCAGGTGTGGTGGCACACGCCTGTAGTCCTAGCACTCAGGGGAAGCAAGGACAAGTGGATCAATGTGAGTTCTAGGCCAGCCTGATCTGCAAAGCAAGTCCAGGCCAGCCAAGGCTACACAGTGAAAACCTGCATTGAAAACAAACAAGCAAATTCTATAGCCACTTTAAACATGATAAATTTCATCTGAGAAGTACTCTAAAAAAAAAAAAAAGAAAAGAGAAGAATGTCTTCTAACAAAGGTATCAGGGAATATATATTCTGGGGGGAAAAAGACATCTGATATGAGTTCAAAACATATATAACATTTTGACAAGTGACCATTAGAAATGATAGGACGACAAAAGTGTACATTCAAATAACAGTGGGGGGAAAAGCTACTATAAAAGCTATGATGGACCGCAGGAGAAAAATGGTCTAGAAAATTGGGAAGAAGAAAAAAAGATGGATTAATATGCAAAGGGGCTTTTAAAAAAAAAAAAAAAAACAGGCAAAAAAAGCCATCAGAAGAGGGTTTTTCTGTGTAAACTTGGCTGCTCTATCATTTACTCTGTGGACCAGGCTGACCTCAAACTCACAGAGCTCCACCTGCCTCCAGAGTGCTGGGATTAAAGGCATGCACCAACACCAACACCCAGCACCATTGGAAGATTTTTAAAGAAATTAAAAGACTTATCATTGTATCATTTTAAGGTAAATCATTACATGATATTATAACAATAAATCTGTAGACTGGGGACTAGAGAGCTGACCTCTCAGCAGTTAAAGAGACCTTTTTGTTCTTCCAGAAGACCAGGGATTCAATTCCCAACACCTACAGCATGGCTCATATCTGCATAGACAGCTCAAGGAGTTCTAATGCCCTCCAAGGCCCTCTGAGGGCTTTGAGGTCCCCAGGCACACATGTAATACACAGACATATACCAAGCAAAACACCCACAAAAACTATAGACTGGACAGAACAAAACTGGGAAAACAATAAGCTTTCACTCAGTCCAGGAAGGAAGAACTTTTGTTAAGTTGGCAGGCTAGGAAAAAGACAAGATATAAACATGCTGTCAATTATCTTGTTGATAATTTACTCACAGTTTAACATATTCTAACATAGTTTAACATATTCACTTATCACACAAAATGAAGTTGACATTCATATTATTTTCAAAAAAGGATACAAAAGTTGATGGGTAGGAAAGGGGGGTTGGAGCTGGGAATAGTTGTAGAAGGGACTGAATATGGTGAAAACATGTTATATAAAACTCTCGAAGAAAAAAAGTAAATATCATTGTATCTTGCTTTTACCAAAAAAGAGATATTTTTTTTTCTTTTTGGTTTTTTGAGTCAGGGTTTCTCTGTGTAGCCTTGGCTATCCTGGACTTTGTAGACCAGGCTGGCCTCAAACTCAGAGATCTGCCTGCCTCTGCCTCCCCAGGTGCTGGGATTACAGGCGTGAGCCACTGTGCCCAGCCAAGAGGTGTCTTATTTAGCTGGTTTTTTTTTCCTCACCGGTAGTTGAAGAGATGTTCTATAGTCATTATTATGGTTTCTGATACCTTAAATAAAATATGATCTGGCACAAGAAGATTAAAATAAAGAGAAAATGTAATGCATATGCAAAAAAAGCTATATATATTTACTTTAGGCCAGGTGTGATGGCTCACCTCTTTAATCTCAGCACTTGGGAGACAGAGGCAAGTAGACCTCTGTGAATTCAAGGCCAACCTAGTCTACATAGTAAGTTCTTCACCACACAGGGCCATATAGTGGCGTCCCCCCAAAAAAAGGAGAAGAGAAATTCACCTTATACTCAATGTTCCAGCACATTTAAAAGAAGTTTCTTTTTGAAATACTATTAGGAGCAACCATACTCTATAGTAAGGATGTAAAATAAAAGATAGTAGCATAAATGTATTTTCAGTGTTCTTAATATTTAATATGCAGAATTTCATTCAAGAATAAATATCTTAAACTCAAAAGTTTATTTCAGTTTGAACCAGAATTTTCTATACATCCATCTTAAAGCCCACATTTTGTATAATTATAATAGCTTTCTGAAAAATTATTTCCGGGGTCAAACATAGTGGTACATGCCTATACTCTTAGCACTTCAGAGGATGAGACAGGAGAAATGCAAGTTTGAGAGCCTAGCCTAGACCACATATAGCCTAGCCTGAGCTATACTGTTTTGATTTAACCTCAAAAATAAACAAATAATATATATATATATATTCAACTCAACTTGACCAATATTTTTCTACAAGATTAAAATTTTTCAATCATTAGTATCTTCTTCATTTTCTCCCCTCCTCCCTACTCAACTCCCCGCCCAACAAATTCCCTTTGTATGACTGGAAGGCAAGATACTCTATGATCCAGCATGATTCTAAGGCAATGTGAATACATAATTCCTACAGATACAAATATATAGCATCATTTACTCTTTACAGGATCCGTCAGTGATATACTGGATTTCTGAACATATGAATGACAAATGTATCTAACAGAAGCTATGCTTTACCATTGGGGGAAACAAAGGGGAAAACACACAATAGACGGTGGCAAATCCTACAAACTTTACAAAACACTGAAAAGCTGCCTCTGGGTTACAACCACAATTACAAAAGTAAACCAAGACAGTTCTAAGACAAAGGAAGAGAGGAAAACTCTTAGCGATCACTAAGAGTTTTCAAAAAAGCATTATTCAGTATTAGTGTTAGTTTCTAAGATATCATTTAACACTATCACTAATTTTTAAAGAAGATAACTTGCCATTCACAAGGACACAAGAAGTAATTACTACACACCTTCTATAAGACATTTATACTTCATTACACTTGCATGGACTCCATTCCTTTCAAATGTTTCCAAAAATACATAGTCTTAGAATAAGCGAGGTTCCCTACTGAAACACTTTATTCTGTAAGCTTAACTATAACACATTTTAAAAGACAACAAATTCATCCTCAAAAAGAAAGAATCACAAAGGCCCCTCTGCTTACTCAAAATCATTACATAAAGCACTGTCTGAAAATGAAAAGAAGATTTGAATATCTGACACCTATAATAACCATAAAACAAACCGCACTTTAAAGAGCAAAAAAAAAACTTTTTTGTTTCCCTTTCTTTTTTCCACCCTATCAGAGACATGAAATATCTCAGTCTCAGACAAAGCTCTCTAATAAAAATGCATTTATATGTACAGTTCACATGCACATGTATAGAAACCTATCACATATATGTCTATATCCCATTTCACAGGGAAAAGAAATGTTCTCTCTATTTGTAAGAGTCGAAATTATATCAATTCTATCCCCCAAATTAAGTTAAATCACCATAAATTAACGAGTAATAAAATACTGCATGCAGACCTAAGATGCTATATGCATAGAAGGAAATTAAAACACACACACACAGACTAAGGCCATGAATGAATACAACCGCCCAATCCCTGAAAATCACTAACCGGCATTTGGTTTCTATGAGAGAGACACGGAGTCTCAAAATGAATAATCACAAAGGCAACTCAGTTTCTGAAGTTAACCAAGATAAAATACAACGAACCAAATCAGACAACTGTATTAAAGTATAAACTTTAAGGAATTCCCACAAAGAGAAAGACTGTCTTCAAGCATGGATTATAAAACATTCCTTGCACGTAAAAATCTTGAATTATTTAAAAAAAAAAAAAAAGTGGAGGGCCGTCAAAAACCTGAATGACATGCAATGGCAAAACCAAAAGCCGGGTTTTTCCTCCCACCCCCACTCCAGCCCCTCCACCCCCACCTTCTGAGGACAATAGACCAGGGTCCTAACTGCAAACTTTAAAGGTGTAAGCCAGAGCAGTTTTACTGCAGCTATAACTGCAATCTGACCCCATCCCGAACCTGGCGCACCCAAGAAGACTTCTGGCCTGAAAACATCACCGGGGTTTTGCTAAACACAAATCAGACCCATCCCAAAATAAAAAAATTAAATTAAATTAAAACTTTGCTCCCAAATACCTGGAGGATCCATCTCAATATAAAATATGAGTTCTGTCGAATAGGGCATCATCACCTCCCTCCAGTCTGCGTCATCGCGGTCCATACTCCACACCGTATTGTACATCGCGCTGTCAGGGGCAGGTCGTCAGAAAATATAGAGAGAGGAGAGAGAGAGAGAGAGAGAGAGAGAGAGAGAGAGAGAGAGAGAGAGAGAGAGAGAGAGAGAGAAATATATATATATATACACAGTTTATCTGATATTTAAAAATCTGAATATATTTTTGCAAAAGTTCCACACGGAAATACACTTGGAGGTTTCCAACGGCCAGTACAAGTCCAGCCAACTACTGGGATGAGAACAAGGTGCTCACTCCCCTTCTCTCCTCCCACAGCACCCAACAAAACGCCCCGAACTTTCAAGCCCCGGGGTCTTTACCTCCGAGGGTCACAGGGAGGCTTGGGAGGCAGAGAGCGGCGGTGTTAAAAAGCGGCTTCCCGAAAATCCTCTCCCACACAATCGCTCTCCGGAGGGACCAGCTCCCGCCGCCGCCTAAGCTTTCAGCGGAAGCCACTTTTGTGTCCTTCGGGAGAGAGAATGGAGAGGAGGAAAAAGAAAGAAAGAAAGAGAAGGGGAGAGGAGAAGGCGCTGGGAGAGGGCTGGGGAGTGACAAAGGCTTGCAAAGGGGGGGTGCGTTCAAGTTTCGGGGTCCCCCTGGTCTGCGGGGAGCGACTGCCTCAGGGACCGGGACTCGGGCTCGGTCGGCAGCTTCGGGACGGCGACCGCCGGAGAGTCCAGTCAGCCGGGCTGCGCGCGGGCAGCAGACGCCACCCCGACCGCGCCGGCTCCCTCACGCTCTGCCCGGGCTCCAGCCACTAGAGTTTCATTTTAACTGCGCGGAGGGGACCTCCTCCCCCGCCCCCCGGCCACCCCCGCCGAGGGCCCCGCCGACCGCGCCGGGCAGGGGGGGGACGAGCCGGCGGCCGCGCCGTCCCCGCACCCGCGCCAGCTCAGCGCGCCAACACCGCCGAGCGCCGGACACGGACCCGCGCTCGGCTCCTCCGCCTCGGCTTCCGACGCTGCCCGTCACCCCGTGAGAGCCGACTCTTCAGGCGCGACTCTGTCCGTGCCCCCCCCCGGCCTCGCCCGGAATGGTACGGCCCGGGCGCTGGCCGCTCGCCAGGAGTCGGAGCCGGGCGCACGCGAGCTCGGCCGGGAGGCGGGGGCGGCTGCTGATTGGCTGATCCCGGTTGCCGGAGCCCGAGCCTGCGTCTTTTGTCTGCCCTGCTCCAGCTGAGGAGCGGAGACGGCTGCGCGCCCCGAGCGGGCCAATCAGGAGGCAGCCGGCGCCGGCCGGTGAGGCGGCGATTGGTCGGGCCCCGGTTACCAAGCGGGACAAAGGCAGAAGGGGGGGAGGAGAGAGGAGGAAGAGGAGGGGGTGCGGGGAAAGAAAGAAGGCGCAAACGGCGCTTACTGACAGGCTGGGCGAGCGCTCGGGGGCTCAGGCTGCCCGGAGACTGGCGGGGCTCCCGCTGTGGCTCGGTCCGCCCGGACCAGGGACGAGGGAGGGGGAGGACGGGCTGGCGCGAGACTCTTCTGCCTGGAGACTGGCCGCGGGGGAGGGGAGCGGGAGCGGGGCGCGCTGTCGCTTGGCGGGGCGCGCGCTCTTCTGCTCCGCTGGAAGTCTCCGGGCAGAGTTCCTCCCCGCGAGCCTCTTCACCTTGCCGCGTTCGCCCTCCCCTAGCCCGGTGTTAGATCACCGGAGACGGCAAAGGTCGCCGAACCCACTGGCGGGGCCGTGCCCGTCCAAACGAGGTGCCCGTCGGCTCCCCGCGAGTGCCCGCGGGCGCCTGAACCCTGGGTGTTTGTCGGGGAGTCGTTTTGCCGCTATTCTGCTCCCCACGGAAAGACTTTTGAACCCAGAGTAACTAACTGCTCAGGTGGATAGGCCTCTCGGCAAGCCCTCCAGTTCCAGTACCCAAACCAGGTTGGGGGGGGGGCGGGGGATAGGCCTGGTTTTTTGGAATCACGATGCCTGTGTGATTTCGGAGATAAATCACAGGTGTTGGAGCCTCTTGCCAAAAAAGGCGCTGTTCTGTTTCCCTCACAGACCCCCTTCCTCACACACAGCCCCCTCCCTCGAAGCTTAGGGCTCTGAGACTGGCCTCTGTGTGAAAATGCTGAACGTTTCCATGCATTTCAGAAACAGTTCGTTAACTTCCCGGGGAACCCTGAATAGCTAACCTATGCCTGGAATTGACATCCTGACCTACAATACAGTCTGGGGAGGCCAAAAACTTCTATTTCCTCTTTACACGGCAGTCACAAAGCCGATTGTGTTTGAGTTGACAACCTGATTTAAGCCCTAGCAAAACCTATCCTGAGTAGTTCTGTTCCTTGATTGGCCTCTGGTAAGGTCGCCACTTTTCACCCTCTACCTCCTAAGGGGGTTCTGCTTTTCTTAAAAGTCTCCTGAGTTAGGCCGGGTGTGGTGGCACATTCCTTTAGTCCCAGCACTCTGGAGACAGAGGCAGGCGGATGGCCGAGTTCAAGTTGGGGGTGTGTTTTGAGTTGAGACAGCCCAGGAAACAGTCAAAATGAAAATGCATACAAACTAGATACAAAGTAAAGAAATAAAAATCCAGGAAATATAGACAGGAAACAAATTTGAAAACCACATCAGAATTCTTTTAGAATCCTGGCAATACTTTCTTCTGTCTCTTGAGTTGAAATGTATTTCAAAAGCTAGAGCAGCTCTAGGGCAGGGCTCATTAATTTTAATCTCCTGAACTGCTCCTTCAGGTAGATGTTGGAAGATCAACTCTAATTTGTGGCTGGCTTCCCAGCAGTCTCTACTTAACCAAATCTGAGTACCGAAAGTATTCACATTTGATAACTCAAAAGGCTGAACAACCAGTCTAGGACAAGTTGGTGTACATAGGTGTCCCCGTGCATTCCCGAACAACATGAAAGTGAAGAGACAAATGTGTGGAAAAGATACCGGCTTTCATGTTTCCACAGAAGCCTTTGCCTAGACCACTTTTCATCAGTTGGTGATGGGGTTTCAGTTTCGATGTACAAAGTAATCACCCAGGCCTTTCTATATCTAAGGTTTAGGAAGATGGAGTGAAAACGTAACACAGTATAAGTCAAACGCTCAAGGTTGATACATGGCATAAGACAATTGTGCTGGACAGTTTCAGCTAACATCTAAGAGAGGGGAACCTCAACCAAGAAAGTGTTGTCGGGGGCTGGAAAGATGGAAAGATGGCTCAGTGGTTAAGGCACTGACTGTTCTTCCATGGGAACCACACTCAAATCCCAGCATCCACATGGCAGCTCACAACTGTCTGTAACTCCAAGATCTGACACTCTCAGACATACATTCAAGCAAAACACCAAAACACATAAAAGATAAATACATTTTAAATTTTTCTTAAAAAAAAAATTGTCTTTAAGCAGGGCCAGTGGTGGTACACACTTTTAATCCTAGCACTTGGGAGACAGAGCCAGGCAGATCTTTGAGTTCAAGGACAGCCTGGTTTACAAAGGGAGTTCCAGGACAGTCAGGACTACATAGAGAAACTCTGTTTTGAAAAACTAAGGGGAAAAAAAAAAAAAAAGCAAATCTGTAGAAAATTTTCTTCACTTGTAATTGATGGGAGAGGGTCCAGCCCATTGTGTGTGGTACTATCCCTGGGCTGGTGTCCTTGGTTCTATAAGAAAGCAGGCTGAGCACGCCTGGAGAAGCAAGCCAGTAAGCAGCACCCTCCATGGCATCCCCTCCTGCCCTGCTTGGGTCCCTGCCCTCACTGCTTTCCATGATAAACTGTTATATGGAACTGTGAGTGAAACAAACCCTCTCCTCCCGGAGGTGCTTTTGATAATGGTGTTTCGTCACAGCAGTGGCGACCCTAAGACAGCAATGATCCAACCTTGTCACCAAAGTGTATGACCCACATCTCCAGTAGGCCTTAGAATAGGAGACCTGCAAGGGGTGAGTGCAACACGAAGCTATGATGCTGTCCAGAAGAGAACATTCCCTTCAAGATGGGCTTAGATCAGTGTCCTACCATAGTGGGAAGTGCCTATCACGTGATGTTGCCTTTGTTTCAGTTAAGAAACAGAATCAAGGCTCTGATTGCATGTCATTTAGCTGCCTCTGGCTTTTTGGCAAAGGTAGAAAATGTTAGCTCTGGTGTCCTTGGACCACTTCCATACTGGAGGATTATATTTGGCCTGAGTGTGGATTAAATTCAGCTTTAAGAGCTCAGACTCCTGGGTCACAACCTGCTGCTTTAGGAGGTACTTTATTTTTTCTTTTGCTGCCCTTCTTTCTTTAATTTAAATTAGCCATAGGTAAATCACAAAATCTATCTGCCTTCATTTATATATTTGGAATAGGAGATTGCCTTTCGATTTATGCAAGCTACTTAATTTATTGTGAAACACTCTAAGAATGAAAAAAAGTCACTTAATAGTTAGAATTGTACCTTTCTAAAATCCAAATAAATAAGATAAACTTCCTTTTTTTAACGGTGGTATGGTTTTGTTAAAAAGCTGTTCAAATATGTTCTATTTCCCACATTCTCTATATTTCAAAAATGCATGAAAATTTTCTTCTGTGCTCTGAATGTAGTGAATGATCTCAGAGCTCTCTGTACCAACAGAATCTGCCTGGAACTCAGCCAAAAGTTACTCATGATTAAAGGTACCATCTGAACACAAATTTTTTTTTTTTTTTTCTTAAAGCTTGGCAAAATGAAAACCTGCCTTTTTCCTTGAGGTCATTTAGCTTTAACATCAGGACTGATTTTAGCCTTTGAGGAAGAATTCCACTGGCCTCAATCTCCTCCCCATCCCCCCATTACCTTCCCTTGACCACTTACCTTCTGAGAATTAGCCCATGCAGCTGAATAAATTCACTTAATAGACGGAAAGCAAAGAAAGCACTAAAATTACCAGTCACAGCTTCCAGGGCAGCCCTGAGCCACATACTTTTGGATGGAAAAGTTTCCCTTATAGTGCAGAAAAAGAACAATGTTGGTAGGTCTTCTAGAAAGTCACCTGGGATTGATGGACATCTCTTGAGATAGCTGTGCCTAATGTCATTCTTAAAAGCATCTCTCTTATATGGCATTTGCAATTTTTTTAACTTCCCCTCATCTTTTCTAACACTTGAATAGTCATGATAGAGTTAATCATATTAGCCTAAGGCCCTGAGAAATTATGACAGTAGATGAATGAGAGGGCTTTAGAAAAGTGGCACTTGTCCAAATGTAGATGAAGTCCTAGGCTTAGGGGCTTAGACCATCAGCATATGATGGAGATATGCTCTGCCACACTCTCCCCACCTTGGATTCTCCTTCAGCTAAGGGATATAAAAGCAACTCTCTCTGTACCCTGACATGTTCTACTTTTTTAATATCTGCCCTTCTAACAACACAGAGGCCACCTGGATGATATATACACCACTTCTACAAATGTCCCCTCCAACAAGGCAACAGATTTCAACTTGGCTCTCATCAGGAGACAGAGCAAATGAGATCCAAATGACAGGAACAATAGTCCAGGCTGTTTTGCTAGGGCAGAGCACAAACCGGGCAAGCAGCTGGTGAGCTCTGTTACCTCACTTAATCTCCATAACCCTGGGGAAGAGGGTTGTATTTTTATTCTCATTTTACAGATGAGGAAATTGAGACCCAATGCAGTGAAGGAACTTGTTCAAAGCCATGCAATCACTTAGGAACAGTGACTTGAGTCCCAGGTCTCTGCTACGGGCCCATTGCCTTTTCTGTGACACCACAGTTTCACCTCTTCATTTACTTAGCAAATGTTTTTACCTGAAAATACAAAAATGAGTAAGAAAGAAACCATAACACTGAGTTCTCCAGACTCAGAGAGGAGGGCCTGTTAGTACATTTTTATATAAATACTAACAGGGCCAACAAAGGAATAAATAATGGCTGGCATGGAAAGTGAATTTGACAGAATTCTGTGGGAATCCAAAGAAGTGATAATCTAGACACATATGCAGGTAGGTAGACGCTTGTGAGTGGTTAGGGTTCCT